TAACATAAGATTTTGTGGTATCCACTAGTGTAAATATTTTAAATTGAAGATCGAATTCATTCATTGTATTTGTTTAGGTTCAAGGAGTATAGTTGTAAAAAATCATCAAAATCGGAGTTAAAATAACCGTTAAATCGTGATTTTTCGTTTACAACTGTTGAAAAGTTTTGTCTCATTACTTCATCTCTGAATGTTTGTTTTTTGCAATTTTTGGAGTATGCGATCTCGAAGCATGTATAAACAAGTTTGACGGTTGGATTGTTGAAATTCGTTTTGTAGGATACTTATCCCGTCAAAACGATAAATTCACTAACACTTAAGAGTTTATTCATACTTTCATCATTTTGATGGGATACACATTGATGTTATACTTAATGAAAGTATAAATAAACTTTAAGCGTTAGTGAATCTTATCGTTTTGATGACTTGGAATAAATGTATTAATTATTTATATATTTTAAGTGTTAATTAGACTATGTTTCAATTAGTATGTGATGATATTTAATAATAAAATTACATTTATGTTTTTTTATTACGTATTTTATTTTTATTCAAGTTAAAATGTTATAAGAGATAAAATAAAAAAATAAAAAAAAGCTGGTTACTTTTTTTCTTTGGGTTAAACATTAGGCGGGAAATAGATGGATATAGGTTGCAAAATTTCCCAAACATTAGGTGGGAAATGGATGAAACTCTTGAAATATTAGGCGGGAAATTAATTATTATAATTTTTTTATGTTTTTGGTATTTTTAAATTACTTGATATTTTTATTTTTAATGTGTTTTATGATTTTTAATCTCAATCTTTGCCTATAATATATTATAAAAATAAATAAATAAATAAAACTTAAATTTAAAATTTATATAAAATAATAATAGAATAATAATTAATAAACAATATATACATATTCATTATATCTATTGCATTTTATAGTAAGTTTTTTTTAGTAGTTTAAAAAATTAAAATCATCAAAATAGCATTTTTCTTATCGTGTCGAAACAGGTTACCCGCGTGTCGCTTTCGTGTAAACCTGTTAAGGACCCGTTACTAACGGGTTATTATCGTGTGACCCGATAATGACCCGATTAGTTATCGTGTTGACCTGAAACCCGTTATTTTCGTGTCGTTTACGTGTCGTGTAATAAATTGTCAGGTCTATCTGTAGTGGTGATGGGGAAGGGGTGCCTGGGCAAGAAGATATGGGGTTTTTTTTATTTTTTTATTTTTATTTATTACTTTTCTTTAGTTAATTGTGGTGGGTTTTTTCGGGATGGGAGGGGAGGTTTTTTGGGGTTTTGGGTGGGGAAGGGGTGGGGTGGGATGGAGGGTTTGGGTTGCAGGGAAGGAAGATGGTTTTTTTTTTTTTTTTTTTTTTTAATAGGGTAAATTATTATATTTTAAATGCATAAAAAATTATATTTTTGCCTTGTGGCACAAATTTGGCAACCACGTCAACACAAATGTTGATCTTATATTTGCCACGTCATCACTTAACAGTTTACATAACGGATTTTTTAATGGATGTATGAAATTGAAATAAAATGATAAGTAAATGTATGAAATTGAAATGTTTTAAAGATGTTGTAAGAAATTAAAATCGATCATAAACCTGAAGGGGTAAAATGTAATTCATCCTAATTAGAATTATATGTAAATTTGTTCCAAGGGTGAACATTAAATTATTAAATATATGTAGAATGATCTGCATGGATTATGTATATATATAGATGGACTAACCCTAGTCTTTTTTTTTTTTTTTTTTGGAAACTAGGAATACCATTCCAAGGCTAAGAAGCCAAATAGGTACAGGTAAGCCTACCAAGAGGCAAACACCAAGAGAGACATACTAAGATAGAAGCAGTGCAAGGGGATACAACCAGAAGACACTTCAACCAAGTGAAAGCGTCACCCCAAATACTACCAAAGCAAAATTAACGAGGACACAGAAGACCATCATTTTTCAATATATGAACCAGAGAAGATGGGGGCCTATCAACCTAAACAGATTCACTCATCCCTAGAAAACCAATTGACGCAATAACATGTGCCGCCCTATTGGCTGATCTCGGCACCCAAAACCAGCGACAATTCTGGAAAGCCCCACCCATCTGTTTAACCCTTGCCAAGATAGGATAAGCCTCCCAACTGCCATTGTCAAGAGAATGACATAAACAAGAAACAACTTCTAGAGAGTTCGACTCGAGAATAACAGAACCAATACCTAAAGAAGCACCCAATTCACAGCCATGAAGTAGCGCCACAGCTTCCGCTATTGTAGCATTAGAAACCCTTAGAGAGTACCTTGCTGCTGCCAAAAACCTACCGCCCGCTACCCTTATCACCACCCCAAAGAAACCCAACTTAGACAACTTAGACAACTTAGACCAGCTAGCATCCACATTGATTTTTGAATAAGGAGAGATAGGATAACACCATCTTGAAACCTGGCCCTCCCGCACATTCACCACTGCCTTTCTGATCCCCGAGTCTTTCACCGTATCCAAGAAGAAATCCATCGCATTGGTTAAAGTCATAAGCACCCTGGTAGTGGTAGGATTAATTGGTACTTGATTAAACACTAAATCACAATGGGCTTTCCAAATAAACCAATAAGTGAACGCAACATAGGACTGAACCCGCTTTCTATTAGCTACAACCCTAAGATTAGAAAACAAAAATGCTTGCAACCACATCACCCAAGATTGAATACCTGCACGATCCACTTTATAGTTTAGAGCACCTCCAAACCAAATAGGATCCACCCAATGACAAAGAAGGAAGAGATGCTCAATTGACTCATCTTGGCAACGACAAATAAGACATAATTTGGAAGGGGATGACCGTCATTTAAAGAAAGCAGCTCTAGTTGACAGGCTATTATGCATCGAGATCCAAAAGAAATGCCAGATCTTTAGAGGCACCTCCCGCTGCCAGATACCTCTCCAACATTCATTTGGGACCAAACAAGCAGTATACTCGGGTCACCGATTGGAGTGTCTCTAATCGCCTCTTGATCTACCGTAGAAAGAAAAGGCTGCAGAAAGCTTAAATCCCACTACCTTAAAACTGGGCATATAAAAGAGTTCACACGTAAGTTTTTAGTGACTGCAACCTCTCCAAGTAGCATAGGGTACCTCGAAGGTAACGATGGCAGCCATCGATCCACCCACACTCGCACATCCTCGCCCCTCATAATTTGCCAATGGGAACCATTTCAAAACAACTCCTTACCTGTGAGAAGACTTGTCCAGGCCCATGAAGCTTGGCCCTCTTTTTGGGCCTTCAAAATGGAACAATGTGGGAAATAACGAGCCTTGATTACTTACGCTCAAAGCGAATTTGGCTCATAAATCAAACGCCAACACTGTTTGGCAAGTAAAGCATCATTAAACTCTTGAAAGTTCCTGAAGCCCAATCCACCCAAATCTTTAAGAAGGCTTAAGACCTCATTTGACACCCAATGGATTTTCCGCACCTCCCCTTTACTTCCCCACCAAAAGCCCGCAACCAAGACATCTAACTCCTGACAAACAATAGCAGGGAATTTAAAAATACTCATAGGGTAGGCGGGAATAGCCCGTACTCTGTTTCCAACCTTGTAGCTTCCCCAATATCCTCATTTTCACTTGGGCCAGGCCACGTTTCTTCGAACGTCACCATATAACAGGAACACCCAAATAAGTGCCCAGATTATCCACCAGAGGAATACCAAGAATGTTACCTAGCTCAACCAAAACATTTGCCCTGAAGAAGACACTTGATTTCTGGTGCCAAAAACTTTCCTTTTGAGCCCTTAAGTCATCAATTAGCCGATACTTCTCCTTTATTTTTGTTATATTAGGTCCCCAATCCTTTTGGAGCTCATCCAACTGAGCAAGTAGGTCCCGAATTTGCATTCCTTGCCTTTTAAACTTGTTACCACTCCAACGTATAAGACCGGAACAGCAATCATTTATCTTTTTCACCCACTGTGACGAAACATCGCCAATCTCCCGCCTAGCCCAACACTTCCGCACCAACTCCTGACACTCCACCTCCTTCACCCAAAAAGCCTCAAACCTAAAGATCTTCCTACCTTTCAATCCTGCTGAATCAGATTAGAAGATGAGAGGACAGTGGTCAGACCCCAAAACCGTCCCATGCGTAACAATTGAGTTAGTACTTACCTTACTCTTCCTTTTTTATTTCTCTCTTTTTCGTCACCATTTTTCATTAATTCATTTCCTCATACACTCATCTTACATCTCAAGCATAAACAATAAAACCAAACTGGCTTTTTAGCCAAAATGGTCAATGAGATTGACATAACTTGTCATTTTGGTTCATGAGATTTGAAATTGATGGAAGGAATCCTTGAGTTTGTCATCAATTTGATCATTTCGTGAAAAATCTATGTTAAATAAAGACCAAAATGATAAAAATACCCTCAATTTAATAAACAATGAGCCAAAATAATTTGACAATTGAGGGTATTTTTTTCTTCTTATTTAAGGGAAATTTTGACCAAAATGATTGATGGTGGACAAACTCAAGAACCAGTTTTATCGATTTTAAATCACATGAACCAAAATGAAGAGTTAAACCAATCTCAATTACCATTTTGACAAAAAGCCAACCAAACCTTAAAAACAAATTGCCACCACCAAAATGGGACTTTCGTAATGCTTATTTATTTATTTATTTAATTTTTTTTTTTAAACAAATGATATTATCTAAACTAAAAGTGGAGTAGTAGACTACTTCAACTTCGAACCATCAACTTGAAATGTCAAAAAAATAGAGTTTATATATATATATATATACACCCGAAAGTCCAATGCCCCTGTTGTGCGTAATGACAAGTCCATAGCTTTCGTGTTTTTCGCAGCCAGCTGACACATGATTCTTGAATCTTGATTTTAGAAAAAAATCTCTCTAAGATGTATACATATAAACTAAATACAATACTTTATATACATATACAGCTAAGGGACTAAATCTAACGCAGTTTGCCATATGTATTACAACCCAATTACCCAAGAGAAGAAAATCTGGATTTATAATGAGAAACTCTGTGATTCTTGATATTACTGGGAAGAGGATTAATGCACGGACGATACTGGTGTTTATGGCGGCAGCAGCTGTCGCCGGTTGCTTTATTGTCTACAATTTTGTGTATCCTTCTGGATTTCGTTATGATGGCTTGGCACAACCCCTCCCCTCCTGCAGAATCACAACCCCTCCGCTTCAGCAGGCGAATACCACAACCCCTCCGCTTCAGCAGGCGAATACCACAGCCCCTCCGCTTCAGCAAGCGAATACCACAAGCCCTCCACTTCAGCAGGCCAGTACGGTACGTAGTCCTCTTAATTCATTACTTATCTCTCCCTAATTAATCCTTTTTACTTTCTACTCCACAAATCAATATGTTTATGGGTTCCTTAGAGATATGCTATTGCAATTTTTGTTTCCTAGACAAAACTTATCTTTATTTAAACATTCAATTAAAACCCAAAATTCAAATCCATTAATATGTAGACAAAGAAATAACATATACTATTTACAACCTATGCCCCAATACACCCTAATTATGTCAATGCATTTTACTAATACCTTCAATAATGATGAAATCCTAACAATAATGATGAAATGTTAAATTTGATCTAAGTTTTTTTCCTTTTTTTTTTGCAAGCTTCTAAAATTCAACTCGCAGGTGCACTGTACTTGATTTATATATGTTTTCATTAAATATATAAAATATTTCCTTATAAAAAATATAAATATATTTCAGAGTCAGTACTTTAATATTTGTAAAAATAATTTACAAGTATTTTTTTCATTTAACCAAATGAAATATGACATCGTTTATCTTAGCAAATGACATTTTTATCTTCAAGTATGTACATTAATTTCATAAAATAATTTACCCGTACCTACATGTGAAATATTGGTAATTAAATTGAACCAAATGACATCTTTTATGTTGTAGTAAATTATTTTGCACATATTATTACATGCTTTAGGCACATTTTATTGTTATTATATATGTGTGGTAAAATAATTTACCTATATATATAATACAGGTAAATTTATTTTGAGAAGATAATATTCTTATATTTTATTGGCAACTAAGAGGCACATTTTGTTTTTATATAATGCTCACATATTTTGAAAAGGGAAAAGTTAAACGAAAAAAATTCCTAATTTTATGCAAATTTGAAAAGCAACTAAGAATTTTTTTAACCAACGATATTATCTACACTAAAGTAAGAGGAGGTGGGTTTAATCTCACAATGATCTAGCAATAAAGTGGTTCAAATTTGCCTTTGGCGAGAATCGAACTTAAGACATCTTACTTATAAGTGAAGAGGAACGTCATTAGACCGTAGTACTAAGTGATAAAATAACTAAGAACTTAAAAAAGGATAAAATTGAAACGAATTCAAACCCTAATATCATATCATTGTGTTATTAATATGCGTTGAAACCATGACATTAAATTTTGTTTTTAATCCGACATAAGTTATTAGGGGTATTTTAGGTATTAAAAAATATGAAATTCTGTGAAGTAAAATTTAATTAAGAAAATTGTTGAGTTGGAGCCTAATCATTGGACTTTTGTTAAGAAAATATAATACGGTGAATTTTAGGTAAAAAATAATAATTTCTATGAATAAAGTCATATTTTCATTAATTAATTATGTTAGCATGTAAGTATGTTTGTGCATATATATAACATGCATGCATGGTTGTGGGTGCATGCAGGGCAACCAACAGGAGGATATGGATCCATTGGACAAAGTTCTGAAAAATGCATGCATGAAGAACAAAACGGTTATAATAACTACGTTAAATGATGCATGGGCAGAGCCCAATTCAATATTTGATCTCTTTCTTGAGAGCTTTAACATCGGAAGCAACACGAAATGGCTGCTTAAGCATTTGCTAGTCATCTGCGTGGACCAAAAAGCATATGCTCGTTGCTTAGCATCACACCCTCATTGTTACTTACTTTACACTCAAGGCGCTAACTTTACCGGCGAGGTATTTTATCTGACTCCCAATTACCTACAGATGATGTGGAGAAGAACCCAGATTTTGTCTTCCATTCTCGACAAAGGCTACAACTTTGTCTTTACGGTATTTTCCTTAGTCCTTCATTTCTTCCAATTTTTGCATACTTTTCCATGAATGAACTATTTAGTGAAATTAATGGACAGGATACCGATATAATGTGGCTTCGAGATCCATTTCCACAATTCTATCCAGATGCAGATTTTCAAATTGCAACCGATCAATTCCTAGCTGATTCTTATAGTTTTGACAATCCTCCCAATTGTGGATTTGTCAATGTAAAATCCAATGATCGAACTATTGGGTTTTACAAATTTTGGTACCTCTCCAAATACACATATCCAGATACGAATGAACAAGAAGTGCTTAATAGGATTAAATTTGATCCCTTCATTGCCAAGATTGGATTGAAAGTGAGATTCTTGGATACAAAATACTTTGGTGGCTTCTGTGAGCCAAGTAAGGATTTTAAACAAGTTTGCACAATGCATGCTAATTGTTGTGTTGGTCTTGAAAACAAAGTGAACGATCTCAAAGCTTTGCTTCAAGTTTGGAAAAATTACATGTCATCGCCTCGTAACGCCACAGGCACTTCACAAGCTTTGTGGACCGTCCCACAAAAATGCAGGTAATTTTAGCCGTCGGTTATGAATCTTCTTCCGTTAAGCCCATTTCTTATGCCAACAATTTTTATAGAGGTGTGTCATCCACATAATCTTTTTTACTTCTCACACATCCTTGTTAATTTTTGTCATTTGATATTCTTTAATTTAGTCGATCTGATGACCCCTTTATATATACCTTTTGCAACCAAATAAAAAAGGTTGTTGCGTTGATGATCAAATATCTTTGAAACTTAAATTTGAGAACCATCCCATGCATGCATGAATCTGACGTGTATAGTCCTATTTTATCACGTATGTTGTTACTTCAGGTAGAAGAAAAGGAGGGTTAAATTCAACGACGGAAATTGCTCCTGCGGATCAAATATATGTCATCTTGCTCATGATTATTATTACAGAACTTATTTTGCAGCAGTTTTTCTTTTTGCAATGTTTATGTGAAGTGAATTAGTGAAAAGAATATACCCTCCATTTATGAATTGTGACAATTTCAAATGTACAAACCAGAAGGGATAGATAAATGCCTATATGTACGTACAAATTCGATTTTATTTACTCACTTATATTGTCTGCTGTCATGTGCATAAGCGTAGTTTAGATTATCAAAATGAAATAGATTAGTAACACCGTTGAGGTACTGACTTTCAAACATTTTTTTCCTCACACTTTAGTAAGAGCAATGTTTAAACAAGATGTTTCAATTCCACGTTTCTGCTACGTTTGCAGCTGCTTGTTGTTTCCTATAGCAGAAGAGTTAGGCCGATGTATTTTCTGGAGACTTAAGGCTGCAAGCTAACATGATCATAGACACCAAACTTGCCTTTCTCCCTTGTTAGAAAAGAATAGGGAAATTTGTCTAAATTCGCCATGCACTGCATCCATCCAACAGGAAGACAAGCATGATGCCCACCAGATGTGCTCTGGTTTAGTTTAGATAAATGATGAACCGCCCTGAGGATTTACGAGTCTGATCAAGCCGTCAACTGGCTTTGCGGAATCGAATCTTGATACGTGTGCCACTTCTTGTATCTCTGGAACCTTGGAAGAATAGCTCTAAGTCGAGGAGCAGTCGTGCAGTTGGAACAGCAACGTCCTCTTAAATCCTTCACACGGTTCAAACAGCATCTGAAATAGAAATCCTTACGTAATGCAGACGGTAAAATGGCATTTAAGCAGTGACGCTTCAACTTGTAGGATGGAGGGGTGGATGGAGAGAGAATAGCTAACAAAAGGAACTTACAGATACAGCAGATTGCAGTGCGATCATTGCACTCGAGATTTGCACAGTTTCTATGCCTTAACTCACTGACTTGTGAACCACATGTATAGCACCTAGCGAATGTATTATTCTCTGGATCTTCATGTATGCTTGCTTTAGTCGTGGCTTCATGCTTGTAGGCAGGCGGTGGGAGAGAGAGACGAGAGTCAAATACGAACAAATTACCAATCCACTGGACAGGACCTTTATTCTCCAGATAATGATAAACACCTTGCTTTAATGTGTATAAATGTTGAAAGCCCTTTTGTCTGGCATATGAAATAAATTACAACTAAATGTCCAAAATAAGAAAAGCAAGAGAAGAAGATAAAGAATTGATTCCAACATCACAACCACGATCCGTTCCATCACAAATTTTCCCATTACTCATGCAGTACAATCATCAATATACATTGCAAAGGCTGGCGGGTTACCTTAGGATTGTGGAATATACATCGCAACGGATACCTCCAGTGCAATACATCAATATATCTGTTTTTTATTTATCAACATTTCCTAATGGATCTGCAGCAACGACCTGAATAAGCACTAACAGAGACAGAAAGTAGTATGTTCACATTCGTCACCAGAAAATGAAGTTTCTACTGCCTTCAGAACATATTAATGCCTAAATTTTCGTATATAAAACAGTAGACTGCGACCTTCACTATATACTACCGCAAAAGTGTTGCTTGACTACAAACCATGGAACCTCCTAACTGCTGACGTGCCTGATCTTAATCTCCATACCAAGGCATAAACCTTCACATCAGAACTTCATTTCAAACCATTACACATCAATATCAATACGTCTGTGGGACTTCTGCACAGCTTTTTTGTTTTACAGAAACAACACTACTTCAACCATCATACTATGGCTACAAACAGAATGTCTCCAGATGTAACATATTGTTGAACTAAAAGTCACGTACCTCTGGTTGCGAAAACCCAAACGAAGTGCTCCTAAAGCAGTCCATATCAGGTCGCCGAGCCCCTTCAAAATGATTAATATCCCACTCATAACCTGATTACAAGCAATGACAAAATCTTCAAACTTCTGTGGCTGAAATTATGAACACAATTATTATATGGCTGACGTAGAAGCTACACAAATAACAAGACTTGCATGCGCAATTATACATTAGAAACATGACCAAGGCAACATATCAAACAACACAAGAAGAAACGACAGTGCTAAACAAATCTAGCCATCAAGGACTGTTCAAATGTACAGTTATGAACAAGTCTACATTGAACACTCAAAATTTTGAAGGGAATTGCCGGATTAACGATAAGAGGAAAATCATTTAAAAATAAAAGGCTCAGAAGTAACATACCATTTCTCACCTCCAATAAAATATGGTTTCTTTTAAGATCGTCATTTGACGCATCACTAGTTGTATTCACTGCTTCCAATCTCTTTCTTCATTCAGATGGAGATAGAGGTGTTGCTCGCATTGAAGGGTCCAGCAAAGGAAGATGTGAAATACTTCCTTCTAACTGGAAGCGGGGGTGATATATGTTATGATATCAGCGACAAGATGTAGAAGAAAAAGAAGAAGTTCTATTGGGGGCTTGCCTGAACCAGTGACGGCCTATACCGCAATGGCCACTTGTTGCTGCAGAAACCTGCACTAGGATGCCGGAAAATCTCTCGTTTCCTCTTAACCATTCAAAATATGCAAGTGCAGCTCTCGACAGCCCACTGTACTTAACACATGCACAACACAGGATATTAAACACACTTCTTATTTGTTTGTCTTGCAGTAATATGTATGGTTCATGAATTCGGTTCACTTGTACATACAAACCGGCTGTGGAACAAACATCCTCTACAGAGAATTTCTGCTCATAAACATTAGTACATTACAAATACAAAGCAATATGCTAAGATAGATTATAACATTGTATAAGCATTTCATTCGTTCATTCCACTGATTTCATAAGCAAACATTACAAACAGAAAGCAATAAATACCTGTGCATTATCCCTTGTTCATTCAGATATATCCGCCCACGTATGTTGAGACCCTCTTCGAAAGAGAGATGCTTGGCCGCCTCCGCCTCCGCGTCTTTGATCATTACGAAATGGTAGAAATTCACCACCACCCATTCGTTATCCTCTCCCCTGCTTTCGTAGCTGCACTTGCATTGCAAGCCAATGCCCGCACGACGTCCGCCTATCCGTTTGCTTCTTTCTGGTAACCAAACGCATTGTCTTCGTCTTGTCTTTGCCTCTGCTGGTTATGCTCGTTGTGATTAGAGAAAGAAAGGCAAGCTGTTTGGCGGCGGAGGAGCAGACTGGGAATTCAAAAGAACCTTTCCTTCTTCTGCCCACCAAAGCAATTTGAGTAACTGTGGAGCTCGACGCACGGATATTACCGCCGGCGCCGGAAAACACCCTCTCATATTTTCTCTCTCCGTATCTGTGCAGTCTGAGCAGTGAGTGATTACCGTGGGACTGGATGAATGGAGACTCCGACAGTGTATTCCATTTGACACGCCGTCGTATTACAGTTGCTTTTATCCAGCCCAAAGAATATAGGCCCAATTCAGACGAGTCAAGGCCCAATACTAACGGCGTTGTATGGGCTTAAAATGACCCAAGAAAAAGAAAATACAAAAAATAGTATTCAACTTTACTCCGGCAAGTAAAGTGACTCAATCTAAAAATTAGGTCGATAGATTTCGTTATCTGAAATTTGTTCTTGTTGGGGCGCAAAATAAAAAAAACCCTAACCGTAGTGGTGTTGCAATCAGATCATCCGATTTGGAAAATCAGAGGATGGGGGCGAGTCGGAAGCTCCAGGGCGAGATCGACCGCGTTCTCAAGAAGGTCCAAGAAGGCGTCGACGTCTTCGATAGCATTTGGAACAAGGTTTGTAGCTTCTTCTACCTTCCTCCGCTTGCTTACAAAAACGCAAATTCCAACTGATAAAACGACTGATGCTTGTTTGTGTGCAATGCGATTAGGTTTACGATACGGACAATGCGAACCAGAAAGAGAAGTTTGAGGCCGACCTCAAGAAGGAGATTAAGAAGCTCCAGAGGTACAGGGACCAGATCAAGACTTGGATTCAATCCAGTGAAATCAAGGATAAAAAGGTTTTATCTTTTTATTTTTGATATGCAATTTTGAATTTTTCTACCTTCGTTTGTACTCGTTGATTTTGGACGTGACAATTTATTCATTTTTTGATACATGTTGACGTAGGTCAGTGCCTCTTATGAGCAGGCTCTGGTGGATGCTCGCAAACTCATTGAGCGCGAAATGGAAAGGTTCAAGATATGTGAAAAGGAGACAAAAACAAAAGCATTTTCTAAAGAAGGATTGGGCCAACAACCTAAAACCGTAACTACTTATCCTATCTGTTTCTTTTCATTTGCGCCTAGTTTTTAATCAATTCATGATTTTTGTTCTTTGGTAATACCATTGTGGCAATGCTCATGATAATGTGAATCGAATTGCCAACTGTGTAATTCCTTTTTTATGATAGGATCCGAGGGAGAAGGCCAAATCAGAGACAAGGGATTGGATAAACAACGTGGTATGTGAAACAAAAGCTTTTTCTTGAAGTCTGTTATTACCTACTTCTGCTGCCTTAAAAAGCCTGTGACTGTATAAAACAGTGTGGTTTAAGATGTCTGCTGCGTTTGTAGTTTAAATTATGTCAATATTTCATTTTATTGCATGACCCATGTTTAATTGATGTATAAGTTTTGGCTTGTGTGTGCTCATGTCTGATATATATTTAATTATATGTACAATGGTAATGGATGGTTGTTAAAGGGGAACTGGAGTTTGTTAATTGATTGATGGTAGCCATTGATGCTTTGGTGCCACTGATTATCTTTATTGAAGTTTTATACTTTTGTTGTTCCTTTTTTTTTTCTTCCAGTTATGCTTTAGATCACATTTGTTTCTTATGTCATTATAACTTGACAATAATGGTTTTAAATATCACATTTGATGTGATCAGTTTTACAAGTTATGTATTGGAAATTATCCATTATCACTCAGTGAGTATTTTTGGTGTTTCATTGTGTTGAGAAGGTTGGGGAGTTGGAATCTCAGATTGACAGCTTTGAAGCTGAGATTGAAGGGCTATCTTTCAAGAAAGGGAAGGGCAGACCACCCAGACTGGTAGGAGAAAGAAACCTGCATTCTTAGGAAACATGTAGTTTTTCTGCATCCTTTGACAAATATTTTTTAATTTGTCTCGCAGACCCATCTAGAGACATCAATTACTCGGCATAAGGCTCATATAATGAAGTTAGAACTGATCTTGAGGCTATTGGATAATGATGAGCTGAGT